CACTCAATTCACCGAGCACTCATCACCGAGCCACTCAATCACCGAGCACTCAATCACCGAGCACTCAATCACCGAACACCAAGTCACCGAACACTTCAATCACCGAACACTCAATCACCGAACACTAATCACCGAACACTCAATCAAACCGAACACTCAATCACCGAAACACTCAATCACCGAACACTTCAATCACCGAACACTCAATGCACCGAACACCTCAACACCGAACACTCAATCACCGAACACTCAATCACCGAACACTCCAATCACGAACACTCAATCCACCGAACACTCCAATCACCGAACACTTCAAATCACCCAGAACACTCAATCACCGAACACTCAATCACCGGAACCACTCAATTCACCGAACACTCAATCACCAAACACTCAATCAACCAAACACTCAATCACCAAACACTCAATGCACAAACACTCAATCACCAACACCTCGATCACCAAACACTCAATAACCAAACACTCAATCACCAAACACTCAATTTCACAAACACTCAATCACCAAACACTCAATCACCAAACACTCAATCACCAAACACTCATCACCAAACACTCATACCAAACACTCATTACCAAACACCATCACAAAAACCACCGTCACCAAATCCTCCCGCACCACCCGTCACCAAACACCCAAGACCACCCTGACACCAAATTTCCGACACGAATCCTCCAGACACCAATTCTCCGGTACACGAACCCCTCGACACCAACACCGACACTTCCCGACAGCAACCCTCCCATCTCACACAATCCACCCAACCTAATTTCCCAACGGTTCCTTAAAACCCCATATGGTCACAAGCTACCCATACTTTTTCATTTGCCCTCGAAACAAACGCAATGCGTCAAATGTGTGTGTGTGTCCCCGTGCGCAGATCGACCGGCAAGGGGCGGTGCGCGCGCAAGTTGGCGGCGTCGCAGGCGGCGTCGCTGGAAGCGGCGGCGGCGGCGGCGCGCAGGCGCCCGTCTGGGCCCCTCGGCGCCCCCTACGCGCCCGCCGACGGACAGCGCCTCATGCCCGTTCCCGACGCCGCGTTCGTCGCGGTGAGTGGCCGCTGTACAGGGTGTCCGTTTGAGAACGGTGCAGCTCGCGACAATCCGGGCTCTCTGGTCATGGATTGTCAACGTACGAGTGACGATCGCGCGGGGTGTATGTTTAAGAAATGTGCAACGCTTCAGATTCTCGGGCGATAGTAGACGGTTGATTCGAGGAAAACTAGCAGCCTCGCGGCATTATACCGTGGGGGGCATCAATTAATCTACCCCGGAGAATATTTTAAAATCTCTCTGACAGCTTCTACGCATTTGTAACATCGGCGGAAACACGCTAACAATAGGACTTATCAACATCGTCGGGCGTGATACGTGAATTTAACGTTACGGTTATCTGCTACTTACGCTCCCTGCTCGCATTAGTTTTAGTACTGTCTTTTAGACTGAGTCCCTTGACTGTAGCCTCCACTTTGTAACTCTGATGTGACGCGTAAACCCATTCCGGCAGACTACCTACTCCTGCCGACGTGACTCAAAATCCTGTGGAGGTGCGTATACCCTTTTACAGGTAGAGGTTGGCGGGCATGCGGGGGGCGACCTGTCAAGGTATCTAAATTTATCTCACTGACATGGAATATTTAAACGTAACGATTAAAACACCTTCTCGAGTTTTATATTAGACAAAAAGGAAAAACAGAATTATTTATTTCACAACGTCAATTCAACACCTTCTAGACAGGAGCCCTCATATTTATTATTATTATTATTATTATTATTATTATTATTATTATTATTATTATTATTATTGGCGTAT